TCTCCCAAACTTGAAACTTACTTTCATCAGCAAAGGGAAATTATCCAACTTTCTTGAATTTTTCAAAGACTTTAACTTTCAGAGAAGTAAGGACCACCAAAATTAGAGCAAGGGGAATTACTGGTAGAAATGTAAGATAAAGTAGAAGATAATATCTCTCGGCCTTTTTATGCTCATTACCTAAAGTGAGCCTAATAAAATACAGCCTCATAGGAGCTTGGCAAGAAGGGCTGGTTAGAAATTTTCTATAAAATGATTTCTCCTAATAAGCTTCATGGGAAAATTAAAAGGCTCTGCATATCCCCATTTGTGGAGAAGAGTCTATTCATCAGGAACTGAAAGTAGTTACCACAAGACTCTGCAGCACCATTTCACTAAAAAAATTGGTTTTTTAATAAGAAACACAAGGCTGTGTTGGTGAGACCTGCCATGTTCAATGTTTACTGGTAACTAGAAGGCTAAACTGTAAAGGAAATCGACCCCTTACTCACTCCAAAACATTCTTTTCCTATGAGCATTAGTTTTTAAACCAGAAGTTTCAGATTCTGCTCTGGATAAAGTAGAAATGTCTTGGTGCTTTTATGTAAGCTGGATGTCTGAGCATCTCGTGTAGTCAATGAAGATCTAGGGCAAGATATATCTAAGCCTTTTAAGGTGCTATTAGGCATTCCATCCACCCACTGCTGCTTTAAAAGTGTCCTGGTCCCCTCTAACCCCTCTGTATTATTTCCTGTTCACATGACATAGATGTCTGGGTACCCCAGAACGTCTCGAATAGCACCCAAATCACATTTTCTATTTAGGATGGAGCCCTTAGTGTAGCCAGGAGAATGGTGCAGCTAACCATAAAAGAGACACATCCATTTAAGGTGCTAATTCATTCTCCAGGCTTCTGTGACTGTATTGAACAAAGCCCCAGGGCCCAATTCATTTGTGTAAACAATTTGAGATACACAAGGGTAACAGTCCCAGCACTAAAGCACCTAGAAGGAGGCTGGACTTCAGTCCTATATCATATCCATCAAATCTGTGCAGATGTTCCAAATGTCACAGGACATATCAAATCGCTGTAGACTCTTACAGACAGGAAACTCCATCAAGGCCCCTTTGGTGGTAACAGGAGTTTGGTGCTGTTGATGTTTACACCCACAAATTGGCACCTACACTTATGTACCTTAATATCAGATTTTGTCCCATTCTGGTATTTTCTACAATCTTGTTCAGCGTTTCAGAACTTTAAAGTTTGTTCCTACCCCTAGAGATTATTTCTGAGATGATCCCTCTAAGTTTTGAAGGCAGTATTCCCACTTTACTTCTCAGTTCTATTGAGCTGGCAAACTAACACGATATCATTCCTTTTGTTCCCAAATTGAAAGTTTCAAAAATTGTGGGCCAGAAAATTTCTTTTCCATTTAATCCTGTATTAAACTTATTGTTTACTTGACCTTCTCAGCCTCTACAATGCCCTGAAAGTAGATTGTAGCCAGGTGAGGGTTGGTCCTTCTTGCCAGGTAACAAGCAACAGGACACAAGAAAACAACCACGAGTTGAGCCAGGAGAGGTTTAGATTGGGTATTAGGAAAAACTTAACTGAAAGAGTGGTCAGATATTGGAGCAGGCTGCCCAGGGAAATGGTGGGTTCACCATCCCTGAAAGCATTCAATAATCACATGGATGTGGCTTTTGGAGACATGGTTTAGTGGTAGGCTTGGCAGGGCTGGGAGAATGGTTGGACCTGATGGTGGTATTGGTGGTATTTTCCAACCAATAATGATGGTGGTATTGGTGGTATTTACCATTGGTGGTATTTTCCAACCTAAATGATTCTATGATTTTATGATTTGCATCTACTGGAAATAAATTAATGAATTAATTAATTAATACAGATATTTTCAGCTTCTGTAATACAGACACTAGTTTCTTTCACTTGCAACATCACAAAGATTTTTATGTGTCTCAGTATACTCAGTTCCCCAAATCAAGACCCAGAAGACCACACAAGCAATGTAAAAATAATAATAATAATGTAACATAACTAGTAATGACACCTTTAATTTCCATTTTCTTGCTTATTGTTTCTGCAAACTTCACCACATTTTCATTTCTCTGGAATTCTGAAGACCAGAAATTACGATAAAATGTGACATAAAATCATTAAATCACCTCACTCTTAAAGTGACTTGAAAGGGCTTAAAATAATCATATATGCTACTGCTAATCTAGTTTTTACAACTATTTAAAACATGACTTAGGATGATGATGATTTCTATATTTCTGGTATGCCAGGCATACCTAAAAAGAAAATAAAATTAAACTGACCTATGTTTGCCTCTTTGCAATGCTAAATTATAAAGATCCACATATCGATTCATGTTCAAACTTAAAACATCCAAACTTTATGTGGTATTATTAATTGATGTCTGCAAAATATTGCTTGTAAATATTTAATTATAATTTTCCTCACATTTTTAACTGGGACTAAATATAAATTCCTGCTTTGAAAAGTGCCTGGAGGCTGATGGATAAATGTTCTAAATGTTAGTTATTTGTAAATAGCCTTTTGGAGACCTTTTATAAAAGACTATGCCACTCCCAATCTGAAATGAAGACATATTTCCATATTGAACACTCATTTGGTTAGAATTCACACATTTTTTTTGTCTTCCCTAGTATATCAGCTTTCCTCTCAAATAGGTTTCCCATGTCTAGAAGACAGAAAGGTGACCCAAAAAAATATATTGAAACCTTTTCCATATTTTGTTTTTTGATACTTAAAACAACCTACTAATTGTCCATGTCCTGTAAAACCTCTTTCCCCTTAGTCCCTACATTTTCACATTTTTTCTAAAAAGCCTGGAAAGACCGGGAAGCCAAAGTGCAGAGAAAACAGATTATTGAAGTGAAATATTCATATTTCTAGCCCTCACATGGGTCTCTAGGTCAGATCAGGATTTACTGATGTGGTGCCCAAAACAGCCAGAGAGTCACTGTTGGGACTAAATCTCAATCAGCAGGGAATGGGAAACAATTATTTTTCCTTGTCAGAGTCACTGTGATGTGGGCTTTCTTTTCCCCTCACTCAAACCAATATAAAGTATTGATTTCTCAAAAATGCCCACAAACCCAAAAATTAGCTTATGTTTCTTTAATCTTTGTTCTCTGAGTGGGATTAAAATAACTGAAATCACTTTTGAAAATTTCAATGGCATTTCAATCTTTGAAATCATCTTTAATTTGTGTTTCTAAATGAAAACTAAAAATCTGGAGGATTAGGGCAAGGTTTTTTGTTTTCACACACCACTTACCAAAATGAATAATTATAACAAGGAGAACAACTTGGTTGCCCATTAAAAATTTAGGGTTTTTTGCCCTTTCATGATCATCTTATATGGCACACTTAATATGTAGGCAAATGTCACCAAAGTCATTTGTCTAAAAAACAATTTCTAGTGGCACATCCCATGTCCTGTGGTAGTTGGGACATCCTGCTGGTTTGCATCCAGCTCTGGGGTCCCCAGCACAGGAAAGACGTGGAGCTGTTGGAGCAAGTCCAGAGGAGTCCATGAAGATGGTTAGAGGGCAGGGCTGGAGCAGTTCTGCTACAAGGAAAGGCTGAGGGGATTGGGATTGTTCAGCCTGGAGAAAAAAAAGGCTCTGGGGAGGCCTTAGAGCTTCTTCCAATACCCTAACAGGCCCCATGATATCTGGAGAGGGACTTTGGATAAGGGCATAGAGTGACAAGAAAAAGAGGAACGGCTTTCCACTGACAAAGGGCAGAGTTAGATGGGATATTGGGAAGAAATTCCTCACTTTGAGGGTGGAGAGGCCCTAGTGCAGGTTTCCAAGAGAAGCTGTGGCTGCCCCTGGATCTCTGGAAGTGTCCAAGGCCAGGCTGGACAGGGCTGGGAGCAACCTGGGATAGTGGGAATTGTCCCTGCCCATGGCAGAGGTGTGGAATGAGATGATCTTTAAGATCCCTTCCAACCCAGACAATTCTGGGATTCTATGATCTTCACTGAGATGGTATCCAAGAGATGGGACTTGTGGAAAACTTGCACTCTTCTGGATCTACAGGTGGCAGCCAGGAACAATGACAATAAAAATTCAGTGTTTATAAAACCCCCTTATTTAGATGTTTAGATGAAAGGTGCAACAGGGCAAATCTATAACAGTAAATTCAACACAACCAGGGAAGCATTGTTAGAACTGTGTTATTTTTGCAAATAATTGGTTAGAATTGTTCATTAATTCAGCCTGACTAAACCAGCTCTATGTGCAACAATTTCTGTTCATTGCTTGAGCATGGGTATTGGCCAGGGTCTGTTCCCAACAGGAACTTCAGATCTCACCCTGTTGGATGGTCCATGAGTTTAGCAGCAGGGATGTGACCAAATCATGCCAATTGTGCTGAGGGTTGGAGATGGTATCCTTGGCTTTGCTGAATTTCCTAGTACAGATGCAGTCATGCTTTCATTTGCAATAACCAGATCATGTTTAAGAGCTATAAAATCACAGAATCATTAAGGGTGGAAAAGACCTCCAGATCATCAACTCACCTAAGTATGATCCAAAATTGTGAATAAACCACACAGAATTCCTTTTGTTTACCTAAGAAGGGGAAGCCAGACTTTATGACACTGGAAAATTAGCAATGCTGCAGAGCCAAGGGCACGGATTCTGTTTTGGCTTCTCTGAAGTCAACAGCCCTGTGTCAGTCTGCACTTGCTGAGAGTCTGTCCCATGGTGTTTCAGAGCTGAGGCTCCACCAAAAACAACCTTTGAAGCTGCATGCAGTCTGCTCTTTGGCTCTATGCCTTTCTTTTCTGTTTCTCCCACAGGTAATAAATAGTTTAGGGAGCAAATCTTGAATTTCAGTATAGCAAAATGAGTGTACTGTAAACTCAGTGTTTGTGGGCGCATTGATATTTATGTGTGTGTGTATTTCTTTCCCTTTTTTTTTTTTTTTTTTTTTTTTCTCTCTGTCTCCTTCCCATTTGTAGTTTGATCACTCACGGTTTTGGAACTCCTGCAATATGTGCTGCCCTAAGCACTTTCCAAACTGTTCTCAGTGAAATGCTGAACTACTTGGAAAAGCACACATCGCACAAAAACGGAGGAGCGGCGGAATCCGGCCAAGGACACGCCAACTCTGAGAAAGCCCCCCTGCGGAAAACTTCAGAGGCTGCTGTGAAAGAGGGCAAAACAGAAAAGACAGACTAGCTACATCAAACAGAATCTATTTCGAGAGAGTCTTGCTGCTGATATTTTTTTTAAATATATATATCATTGAGGGCAATTTATCTCCAGTGGACCAAATCCAGGAAAAAAAAAAGGGGGGGGGGGGGAGGGAGAAAGAAAAAATAGTAAAAAGAAAATAAAAGGAAATAAAAAAGAAAGATTAAAACAGAGAGAAAGAGAGAGCGTGAGAGAGGAAAGTATTCAACCCTAAGAACAGCAGTGTACAGTAATTGTGTGATGAAATTGTCACTTTTTTAAAATTTATGTTGCTCTAAACTGCTTTTTTGTGCACGTAGTATTTGATTGTTCTGAATGATACACTAACACTGTTTTTTATAAACACTTCTGGACTTGGCTGAGGTGGCACATGAAATTTGAAGCACTTTCTTCTCCGGCAGCAGAGTTAGGGTCAGTGCATCAGTTGTGGGACACACGGTTCCAGCATCCTGACTTTGCTCTCATGCTGCATAGATTGAAAGAAAGGCTTCCTCTGGTCCATGGGAAATGCCTGATCTACTCACCATTGAAAAACCAATATGGAAATCTGGCAAAAGAGGAATTCTTGGGTCATGGGACAAATGAAAAGTCCTGTACATGGGAATGCACAATAAAGCTGCACTGGAATGAGGCCAGAACCTGTTGGGAATCTGTTCTGACCATTCAAGCAGCAGCCATGGTGTCTCTTGTGAAAAGAGCATGGCAGACTAAAAGGAAAACAAACCTTGATAGTCTCAGTAAGAGCCCTGATCCCTCTGTGAACTTCAATTTAAATGACAGCATGGGCTTCTGTTCTCTATTTTCTCATCCCCTGGTCCCACAGCACTCTGCCATACCTGGGTCCCTGTTCAACACAATCAATCCAGGCAATTGGAGTCACCTTTTGTGTTGCCTTGATTTTATGATGCTTTCTTTTCTTCAACAGCTTGTTTCTGCAACTTTATTGTCTTTGTAAATCCAGCTGAGGTGCAGAGGTCTAACAGAATCCACTCACTGGAAATAAAAACAAAACTACAAATAAGACAGGATGGCTTAGTCCACAGCAGCTGAGTGGTAATAACCTTGCTAATGTACTTTTGAAATATCACTTTACCACTACCACACATCCTCATGCAGAAAACGGAAGGTATAGTTTGAGCTCAAGACTCTTTGAGTCTAGGGACTTTTTCCAGTCACATTCTAACTCCTTCTTCAACGAGACCTTTATTCCATTCTTTTTCTTGTTCCTCTAACATCACCTTATTGAGAAAGTTAGGAAGGAATGGTATTACTGGGGGGGGCTTGGTGTTGTTCACCTAGACTCTACTTCAAATCAGCAGAACCAGACCTTTTCTTCCAAGGGACAATTCAACTCTTTCTGTGGTAGGAAAAAATATAGTTGTCCATGTGTAAATGTTTAGAACCATTTGAGATGTTTTAGGTATCTAAGACAGAGTTTTGACAGTTATGACATGAAACCTTTAGGAGAACTGGACTCTCCTGGAGGATCGCAGAGACAGCAGTAGATAACTGTGGGTGACAAAATCCCTCACACGCATTTTCACTCTCTAGAAGTTGCTAGCATGGATTACACCTTGGATGATCAGTTTAGACTAAACCTAGGGACTGCAACAGATAGCTGCAGTGTTTAGAGCCAGATGCAAGGAATCAAAATGAACTAACAATATCACCCTCACCTTTCAAATTATGGAAGGCAATAGAGTGATGATGGCATGATGCTGTTCCTCTCAAGGTAGTAAGGACATTGCCACGACCATGAGAAAACACTCTAGAAAGTAAGGAGTCCCTGACTGGTTATTTAAAGAAAATCTGGGGGAAAAAATTAATCCTATGCTTTTGCCCAGAGTTGTCCTTGCTCAGGGTAGGTGAATAACTCAGATACCTGCTGGATAGCTGATAGTGCTATCCAGTCACCATCCTACATTGAGGGAAACAGGTGTATCTCCATGGGACTCCATCTCCTTAACACCAAGAGCAGATAAGTGCCTCAAAAAATTTAACTTTATTAAATTAATTTAATGGATTTGTACTTGTACTTCTGGAGAAATGCTGAAATCAAATGAACAGTCCTCGGAGATGTCTTCAGCAGAAGCATTATGGAACTGTCCTAGAACATTAAATACTTGAGTGTGAAAGTAGGTGACCATGATTAAAAGTGAAAAGAAAACTTATTCTGCTTTTTCTATTGCCCAAACTGAGGGTGAGGAAAGGGAAAAATCAAAAGTTTGACTGTGTCAGATATGCAGATTTGCCTCATTTACTGTAAAGCAATTTAATTTTAACATCTATTGCAAGATGCGGATAAATTTAAATTAGATTTTGTTTGGGAAAAAAAATATAAGTAAAAGGCTTTAAATCCTTTTCAGTTTTTTCCACTAAATTATCAACTTTTTGGAGAAGGATGAGTAAATGCTTGGGCAAATAAATCTGTGAAATTGTTGTTAAAGCAACATTTAATTACCATCAAATTAAAATGCTTAACATTGCAAATAATATGTATACAGCCTTATATGAAATATTTACCTATTCAGGATAGGGTCCAATGTCCCAACAATAATTTATTTCAAGACTTGTGTCTCTCACTGTTACATAATCACCATGAGTGTCTGCTCCGCAGCAACAGATTATTTTTGGCCTCGATTACCCTTTGATCTATTACTATTAATAAATCTGAGCACATTTCAAGCCCCAGAACTTCCAGTTTTTGGATTAATGACCCCTGTATATTCTTGTTAATAGTCTATACAGATCTGATTCTACCTGACTGAACTGCTATATATTCTTACCATTAAGAAATTGTTTCTATTTCCATGTCAAACATTCTCTTTTTTCCCTTAGTACTTTAGCACATTTTAAAAGCAAAATTCTTTTTAAAATGTGGCTGCAAGTTTGCTGACATTGGCAGGCTCTCTGATTTCTATTTTTAATTGCACTTAATAATTTTATTGAGTGAAAAATTATTATCACTACCTTTTTTTGCTGAACTAGCTATCTGAACAGTTTGGTGTCAAAATATCTTTCATTTTTGACCGTGGAACTTTCAGTGGGGTTTTAAGCAATTATTTCACTGATGTTCCTGTTAAAGTCTCAGTCTAGGTTTCCATTTACACTCCCATGCTGTCCATGGGAACATGCCCATGTTCCCTTGTTGTAGGTTTGGGGGTTTTATTATTTTCTTAGTTCTTGTCTCTGTGGAAATATTGCCATCTCAAAACACATTCATGACCTAGATTAACCTGAAGGAAGTTCATGATTTGGAGTTAGTGGGTGCTCTCTGGTGTCAGATTGAAGTATGCTTGTAACTCTTTGACTTGGAAATTTATCTGATCAGAAAAAGGAAAAAAAAAAATCTTCCTTTAAGAGATTATGGAAGTGTTTATTCAATGTCAAAACCCTCAAAGGAGTAGAGAAAAGTCTCCAAAGTTTCATGGCCAGGACAATGAGTCATTATGATTGTTGGACCCTAAAAATTAATTCATAACCCAAGTGTTGTTTGAGTAGTTGGATTCTTTTGTGCTTCAGCCCATTGCTCAGCTCTGTATGAGTTACACCTTTCCCACCACCAATCTCAAAACAGTTTAAGTAGGCCCCTGAACTTACTCCTTATCATAAGTGCATGGCACATTTGACTCACAAAGAGCAGCTTCTGACTCTTGGATTTATTAGCAAATTACTCATGGAGCAAACACAATGACTAACTACAAACTTATTTTTCTAGAGCAAGGTGTTACTTACTGCGAGTACAAACAGCTCTCGTGCTGACTAAGCTTAGCAGGTGAGTCTGGCAGAGTAGGAGCAACGTTCTCACCTCTGCCCTGAGATTTGGTTCTGTGTTCACACAGCCCTCATTTAGCCCCATTACATGACAGACAGGTAATGTAGTAAAGGGAGAGTTTTATCAGATGATGAGAACTGGAACAGTGCTCACATGGCATGTTAACAGACAAGCAGTGATGGCTCTGCCACCTACAACTGAAGACTGTCAAGAACTTTGTCCTTTGTGCTGCCATCTTTAACCCTGACTCCTGCTAGGTGTCATTCTGTTGCCTTGGAGAACTGGCAGAAGGGGTGAATTTAGACCTTTCATTTGCTTCGTTATTAAAGATAAACACCAACATTTGCTGGGAAAAGACTTCAGCTCTCCAAATCAACATGGAATCTGCTCTTTGAAGTTTCTCTTTGACTTTTCCTAAAACCAGAAAAATCTGCTACAAAGCAGGCACAATGTATAGTCCTTCCAAATCCTGGACCTCTGTGTAAATATTTCCCCAGTTCATTTCTTCCTTTGGACGTGACTCAGTGGCACAGGCGCAGCTCACAATTTTGCAGCCAGGCTCAAGAAGGGCTGTTTACTGTCCTAAGAGCCAGTTTTAACTTTACAATCTCTAACTGCTCTTTTTTGTTTGTTTGTTTGTTTCCTAATACCAACAAGCAATTTTGGTCTTAAATGTTTTAGGGATCCAAAAGGGCTGCTGGTGAATTCCAAGGTCATTTGACTTTCATTTATGCTTTGGATAAATGGTTCTGCTGCTCTGATTCTTTATTTCTAAGGACAAGAAGAAACAGCATTAGTAGAAGACACAAGCCTACAACACAAGGAAGAATCAGTAAATTATACAGGAACTGTATTTATAAAAGTATCCTTTGCCTCTGCCCTCATTACAGGTTTAACAAGAATTCACATACAGCTGTTTGGGGAATGAGGGAGGAAAATAAAGTCATTTTCCTTTGCCAGGTGAAGGTCATTTGGAAAGGTCTGATCTTTTTACTGCTATTCTTTACTTTTCTTTATTTTGTACAATTAATTCTGTTCTGTACAGCAGCTGTTGTGATTGTATTTAAATGTGAGTGCGCACTTGGTCACCAACAAACAATGTCCTATTTATTGCTTTGGAGTTTTGATTTGGTTTTTTCCTTCCATTTAATTTAATTTATAATTCAGTGGTGAAAAACATAATCTTTTATATTTCTATTTCCTATACAAG